ACACAGACAACCCCGTGACAATATGCGTTTTGTACTGCTGTTACACAGCACAAAACGCATAATAAGTATTGAAAGGGCTCTCGTACAGCATCAACATTGAGTGTGCCAGAAAGTATGCATTTTTAGGGGAACTCGCTAGGCAGTTAAAAAAGAGATGCACAGCAATATACTCAGTTTGAAAGCCAAGCCAGAACAGCCGTTACGATCATGTGTTTTGTGCAATTCCGCCCACTGAACGATTGCCCCTTAATGATTTCCACTGCTTTGTACTTTAGTCTGTGCAAAAACAGTTGAAACGCTGAAAAATGGTTAAAAATTTTACGGACCGGCACATGGAAGCTGAATTTGAAACCGCGAAGGGTGAATATCCTTCCAAAATTTCAATCTCTTAATTTTCTGGCTCTCAAATGATCTCTGAGACAAGACTTTCACGGTCGTAGGTGACAGCCCGGCAAACTTAGCAACTGAATTCGAATTTGTGAGCTCCTGTTTGGCAGAAAAAATTGTCCTAAAATTTTCAGCCTCCTAGCTCTTGTGTCTCCCGAGGTAATCATTTTTCTCGCCAAAACTTCCACAGGGAAGTTGAAAATTTGCGGAGTTGCAATTGGGAAGGGGATGTCACGCTAAAACTTCAGTTCCCCAAATTCCGTGGTTTCCGAGAAAATAATTTGGCCGCCAAAATTTTCATGGTGGTCGCAGGTGATATCCGACAGCGCGGAAACGCTGAATTTGAATTTGCAAGGCCGTGCATGGGCAGCGGGTCATTACCCTAAAATTTCAGCTTCCTAGATTCCGTGGCTCCTGAGATGATAATTTACCTGTCAAAATTTTCATGGGGCCGTTCTTGTTACCCGCGGCAGGAGAAGGCTGAATTTAAATTTTCTGGGTAGCATGTAGGCAGAGAACTTGCCACAAAATTTCAGTCTTCTAGCTTCCGTGACCCCCGTGATAATAATTTTATTCGTCAAAGCTTTTACGAGACCGTATGTGTTACCTACGGGTAAGAGGAGGCTGAATTTAAATTTGCGGGCTCACACGTGGGTGGGGAACATTACCCTGAATTTAGCTTCCTAGCTTTTGTGGTTCCCAAGTTGAAAGTTTCGGAAAAGTTGCTGCGGATACACACACAGAGACAACCCGTGACAATATGCGTCTTGTATTATTGTTACGCAGCACAAAACGCATAATAAAAAGCAGCGCAAGATTATTCTATTGTTGAGCTCATTTAACTGAGCACTATTCATTTTCATTAAAATTACCTTCTTGGATACCCGGAAACGGCAGCATTTCTGGGAGGGCATGGATTAGCGCATCACGTGGCGTATGACACCAGTTTTCCAAATCGCAGTCAAATACAGCATTGAAAGCCCGTTTACAATCATAAATGACCTCCAGATAGCGGGACTGAGCAATGCAGGCAAGTGCAAGGCGATTTTTGCTCACCCGGTCATCACCAGCACTAAACGTCAATGCAAATTTTAGTAAAAAGTATATTAATTTGTTCGCATTTCTTTTAATAAGTGAAAATACCGCACTCATAGGAAATCCTGTTCCGTAAGTTCTCGTTATTTGGCCTTTCAGGATTGGAAATTATTCATTGTCTTCTTGGAAACAGCAAAATGAATTGACAAATGTGCCTTGCAAAAGAGAAACGAGAGCTGCTGCTGGACCTCGCGTGGCATGGCATCAGGCAGAATTCTAAGCTGAAGGCCGTGCAGCCTCCTACGGTCGAGCTGTCCGGTGCAGAGTTAAATTATGTGAAAAACGAACTGTGTCAGATCCCACACGAGAAACAGTGCTATTATATAGGGGAAGAAAATGTGTTATCGAGCATGCTTACCTAAAAGGAGAAAAAGCGATGGGAACACAGTTTCGTGACTATTCAACTTTGAGCACGAGGAAAACAAAAGAATAAACGGAACAACCCGTCAACGAAAGTCGAAAAAAGTGGGGGAACAAAAGTAAAACTAATTTTATCTTACCGCAAAAGTGGCTTTGTTTCGCACAGTATTAACAATTATAAGCAAGACAGCATAGCTAAACATAAAATTAAAGTTACGAATAAAACTGGAACTAATCTCAAAGGGATTCTTGGCTATAACGCTGAACATTAATTAATTTTTGACCCAAATTTTTCGAATTATCACATAGTGCTTCATCTAGCTAGCAGACTTTTCGCGCAGTCAATCCATTTTTTTTTTTCAAATTATGACAAAAAAATGCATACTTATTGCGATATATTGAGAGATTCTCGATCTTTTTAAGTAATAAATCGTATGCATCGCCTTGTGATGATTTGGATGTCAGTAGAGCTCGCATAAATGTATCCTGAAGAACACTTCTACTAACAGACACATCCAAACAAGTGCTACCAATTTAACCTCAGACCCTCGTCTGTACTTTATCACTGATCGGCACATTATAAAATCCCCTAAGTGGAAAGGTTATAACGAAATAAGATGAAACTAATGACTAATGCAGTTGCTTATTTGAACTTCCTAACGTATGCATAAGAATACTGTGTAGTTTTTCAGATGTTATGATGTTATTTTAATAGACGCAGCGCATAAAAAGCATCAGAAATTTGGATTCAGAGCTTGATCTGTCCCAAGGTTGATTTCTTAATTTGATTTTTTCAACAAACTCATATTTTGATGCGCAATCCACAAGTGAGGACACAGAGAGGTTTGAAAAATGATAAGTTTGCGATCTCACAAACACAATATCCAAAACCATTAAATTTGTAAACAGCAGTTAGTTATAGATCTATTACAATAGGCACAACATATCTAAACATGGATTCTTCAAAATGCTTGTCTGCCAAGGCATAAAAAGAAAAAAAACGGAAATTTTTAACAAATATAAGGAACATTATTTTTCAGCTTTATAAGCTAACGGATACGGGGGATGAAAACAAAAAGCGTTACACTTGTGTGCTAAGTTCCGACTGCTAAAGTACGATCTGTGAATATTCAATGATTCCGGATATTAGATACTGACAAAAAGTATATCAGATGAAGAGGGAGACTCGCACAAAAGCAATAACTGACCAAAAACTCGCGTTCGTTTATAACTGGCGCCAAATATATTCTTAATTTCGCATCGTCCATTATCTCCTCACCAAAAAGACGAAAAAATTCCTTTCTTTTCTGCAAAAACATTTAAGTTCGCATTTACTTTTCAAAACAACCACTCATGGAAAATCAACATTCACTCCTTTTCATGGTCCATTTAAACCTTCCATGCAGTTGATACTGACTGGGAACAAAGTTAAGAGGTGCTAGGATATAAAATATGCGTCAAAGATCCTGGGCAAAAGCTGCACGCAAAAGAGCTGCGGCTGCCAAAACATTCACAGCACAGACATTGTCCTCAAAAATGCCCAAAAAGAAATACGGCTTTTAACTATTCAGTATTGCTGTGTTGAAGGCAGTGACGCATGGATGAGGAACGTGGTTACAGGCCAAAGCAGAACAGTGAAAGTTAGCTGCGGCGGAGGCAATAATGAGGAGGAAGATGGAGTATCGTCAAGTAATCAAATGGCTGGTGTTCGAAATTTGATTACGGTTATGAGAAAAAAACAAAGACGGAATCGCTGCTCGTTATGCAGGCAGCTAGGAGTGTGTGAGGAACCAGAACTCGCGAAGAAGCAAACGAACCCGCTGTGGCTGTCGAAGAGATGTCGCATAGATGATGGAAAACAACTGGAAGGAAGGAACACTCGACCAACCCTGCCCTACGACCCACGAGTGTCTACATTTCAGTATAACCAATGCTCCACAATGATTTTTCCGGTGGTTTTGGTGTTTTTTTGGTAAAATCCACAGCAAAGTTCATTTTTCAGCAATTTAAGCCAATATTAATCAGAGTCAGCATATCGTCTCATTACAAATTAAGATCATCCAGGCCATGGTAGCAAGCGGACGAAAAATTTCACTGTGCTGAGATGCAGTCAAACCTAATCAGCGCAAGCCTCTCTCCCCCGAACTGTAAGTTTACACTTTCATGTCACCGCTTTGCACGAAAAGAAATGCAGCATCTGTAGCTTGTTATCATGTGAAGCACACATGTCCCACCCAGCAAATTTCGTTTTTATATCAGAATGAAACCTGTGGACCAGGCTATTTCAAAACATTTATCTGTCTTTGGAAAAATGAGAGTTCCCTTTCCATCCGTTTTGCCTTCGTTAACAATGACGCGTTGCATTTAGGCGTCATTGCATTTCAGTGCTGCAACAGGACAGGAAAAGAGCTCTTCGTTGAAGATCTGCTCCCTCCCCCCCCCCCCCCCCCCCCCCCCC